ATAAGTAGGTGAGGACACTCCATTACTTACCATTATTTCGGTTGTTCTCTCTCTCTTAGAACGTTATGCAAAGGCTTAATAATATTTAGAGTCATATGCCCTTAAGGCAAATCATATTCATTATTACCTAAGTATATCTAAGGCCCAAAGGCCATATAACACTGACATCGCTAACCCACTCATTGCGAGTGTTCGGGCTTCTTACCCTAGTTAGCTTTTAAAGTGCCTCTCGCACTAACAATGCCCCACTAAGGCAACCAAGATAACCTAGCTATGCTCTAGCATAGCTGGACCCACTAAAGTGAGGTTATTCTTTCACTAGCTGCCATCTCGTTCATTACTTAAGGACACTTTAGTCACTATGACTCAAGATAAGTCTCTATGCATTTCGTGGTTTAATGATGGTTTCAGAGTTTGCTGATCACTTTCTGAAGCACTAGTTGTCCCGATACCTGGTTTGGGTTCATTTATGAGTAACAACATTTTAGTTATTCTTATCGTACTTCCCTTCGATACCTTATGAACTGGAATGGGCAATTTACCCCTCCTGTGTTCACTGACGTTCTTGGAGCCCACGCTTTTCGCTATTTTTGAATCTGACTTGCTCATTGTACTATTGGTCGGTACATTTCCCCACAATGATCCTCATTCTCAACTATCCGTATACTTGTTCGAATGAAGAAATTTTGGCTTATTTCGCTAAGTATGGTTGCATCCATTGAAATCTAACTTTAAGCATATTCCTTAACTTTTTTTCTAGTGTTTACACATATTCAATCTTATTTATGGTTATACTATGGGTATAGGGTCTCCCAGGCAACATTTTGGGAAGGGTTTCGAAACCTCTACTGTAGATTTGCATTTTGGACAAGGTGTTTTGAAACATCTGCAACAGATTTGCCTTTTTCTTCTGAGAAAGCTCTTCTAATCACTCTCAAAACCTTTCCAAGGTTCTCAAATGTTTAATAAAGCTTAAGAAAGTTATTTTGGGTCATCTGGCACTATAAAAACACTAGTTTTTTTTTTTAAAAAACATCATCCATGTAAGAATGAAAGACAAACCATAATATACCCAATTACTCAAATCTTCAACAAACATTTTGGTTTAAAGAAATCATGACACCACAAAGGATTAAAAACACATTACTTTAATGTTAGAAACCCGAAATGAACCTCATTTAGCTAGTAATCACCTTCCTCAAGGATTGGATGAAGAAAACCCCTATTTTCTTATAAAATAATACTCAAAGCTTGAATCTTCAAAAATGTGGTTGCTAGGGGGTTTATTAGGACGAAAATGAAGTATAAAAGAGTTAAGATCTTACCTCGCTATGGAACTTGGAGAGGGAAGGAAGCAAGAAGAGAAGAGAAGTAGAAGAAATGAAGAAAAGAGAAATGGGGAATGAAACCCACCTTCAAAACATGATAAAACCCCAAAATCAACTTGTATTTCCCAAAGAGTCTAATTACACTTTTGGTTATTCACATTTTGTCCCTTATTTAAAAATCTCCTTTTTATGGCTAATTGGGCCCCCTAAAATCATCCCAATTAAGCCCAACAACTTAATTTATAAAATTCACGAGGTCCACTTACCTCTCGGGTAAACCTGAAACTACTAGCCCAAAATTTGGGGTGTTACATATTCAATTATGTACTAACCAATTATCAACTTGTACCAAAAATCATCTATAGGAAAGTAAAGTATTACCTCAATTTCTTTATTATATTGGTTGATCGTTTAACACCACTAAATCACTCTTGAACTTGAATTTGACGTCCCATAATATCTCAGATACATGGCAAAAGAATTTTATCAGAAACGGAGCTTAAACACAAAAATTAGATCGAATTGAAAAATAAAATGCTTAAAAATAACTTACTAGGTTCGAATTTGGAAAAATGAACTCAGGATGTCAAAATATTAGGATATGTGGTCTTAAATAAAGTCAAGGTCGGTTAATGGATGATCAACTGTAGTTAATGAGTCGGCATGGTGGTTGGGCTCGGCTCAACTCAACTCAATGACTTAACTCGGTCGGCTCGATCCAACCGATTTAGCAGGTTCCCTAGGCGGTAGACGAAGCCCACGTGTAGAGGATAACACATGGGGCACGCGAGGCAGCGACGATCGTCAGAATTTCACCCAATTTTATATAATTCATATTTTGATGATTTTGAGTCACTTACTACGGTTATTTCACGACAGGGGTGACAGAGAGCTGGTTTTACGAACACCCAAAAGTTTTTTTGCTTCACCTCCTTCCACGACGGCGCCGATGAAAAACCCAAGAGCACCAACCAACTCTTTTCAACGTCAAGAACACCATGGTACCAATGGTGTAGCAAACAAAAGTCTAGTTGGTGACTAAACGACGAATGAACCTTCTTGAACAAAAATTGCTAAAAAATGAAAAGTTATATATATAGAGAGAGAATCTTGGGGTTTTCCAATGGGAAACTTTTAGGTTTTGGGATTTTAAACCCAACCAAAATGTAAAATGGCAGAATTACATATTGGGTCCTTGAGGTTTTGTTGCTATCCGAATTTTGCTTCGAATTTAATTAAGAATTCAATTTAATCCTTGAAATTAATTCTAAGAAAAATATATCCCCTAAATTAGGGTGTGACAATGCTAATATGCATATTGGACATTATTTAAATTTTAAAAATACAAAAAAAACATGTTATAAGAAAGAGCACATAAAAATATCATTAAAGTTTAAAAAATGTTTAGTGGTAATTGAAGCCCTCAATTTTTTGAAGAAAAATAAATTAATGTAACTCCATTACATTTTTACACCAAATGTGACTCTTAAACATAGAAAAAAAAATTAATCTAACTCTTTGAAGAATATAATCAAATGTCAAATGCCACGATAATTATATGATAATTCACAAATTTACATGACATTCCATAATATTGATGTGACAGTTAATGATACTATTATGGTAGTGTACAATGAACAATGATATGATAAATGGGGTTAATTAATTTTTTTTTGCTAAGTTCAATTGTATAGTTGATTTTTTATAAAGTTTGAGAACTTATTTAACTTGTTTTTAAATATATATATATATATATATATATATATAATTATTTAAATTTAAAATTTAAAATATAAAATTATTAAGATATTCAATACATTCAATATAAAAATACAAAAAAAATTATTAAAATAAAACAATTTAAGGACTACATTGAGTATAAAAAAGTTTAGGGACCAAATTGTTTTTTTTTAATTTGGGAGTTTCGAATATATTAAGTCAAAAAATTATTGTTAGAATAATTTGAAACATATAAGTTAAAGGATCTGTTTGGTAAAGCTTTCTAAAAGCACTTTTAGTTAAAAGGTCAGTATTGACCGCAAAATCAATGTCAAACAAATAATAAATTAAAAGAAAATTACATTAGAAACAGTTGTTTCATGTCAACTGCAAAAACTAGGATTTCTAGCTTTTCCATTTTCAACTTTATTTTTGGAAGCAATTTATAATTTTACCCTAACTAATGTGTAAGTCCACTCAATTGTGTATTTACATTTTATTTTAATAATTTAATACTTTATTATAGTGAAATAATTCATATATAATATTTTTTTTTGAAGTTATTGTAGCTTAAATTGATATGATTCATATATATAACTGTAAATTTAATTTAAATGCTATATTTTTAATTTACAACATAATGTTTATAATGGATATTTTATCTTTTCATACTCACTTTTTAACAACAGTCCCAAACAATTAAATTTTAAAATACACTTTTGTATATCACTTTTAAAAGTTCGTTTCTATAACACTTTTAAAAGTCAATTTTCAAAAATTATACCAAACTAGCCCTAAATTAAAATTGTAGACCTCGTATTTTCTTATTTTCAAATTTCCAATTTTTTTAATGAAAATAGTTAAACATCTTTTTTATTTTATTTTTATATTTTACTTATTTTTGTTTTTATTTTTCAAAAATCATTTACTAATTTTACAATCAAATATGTTTTCTTCAACGTTTTTCATTTTCTAAGAAAATTAAAATAAAAAATAACCTATATTTTATAAAATCAAATGGACATTTAGTTTTTGCGTTTTTAAAATTACTTTTGCAACTAAATTACAGTTTTAACCTCTTTTTTACTACATCTTTGATGTGTTTATTTTAACCTCACATAGTTTGTTCCGTTTATAAATATTAAGGTTCGAACATCTGACATTACTTAAGAGATATAGTGTCTTATTCCATTGGATCAACTTTTTGTTAGTTTATGAATAAAAATATGTTTATATATTATTAAAATTTAAGTTGATATATTTTATATATTGTATTATTAAAAAGTTAAAAAATTATTTTATATATTTTTTTAACTTACAACATAATGATCATTTATATTTGAAAAAAAATATTTTTTAACAATACTAAATAATATCAAATAATTTAAATGTATTTTTCAAAAGTATCATTTAAAAGTATTTTCCAACCACACTTTTCAAAATCAATAATAATCTGACTTCTCTATTTAAATTTCAGTAAAACGACTTCGTTTCGAAAATTTATCTCCGAATGAGTTTTTTTCTAACATAAAAATCTCATTTATTTTAATTTTTTTTAGTTTGAATTAATAATTAAATATTTTAATATAAATTTTTAATTAAAATTGAGTTCTTTGAAATATTTCTACATTTTAAAAAAGAATTTTAGAAAAAAAAATAATTCCACAAACATTCTGCCCTAAAATCTCGATTAAAAAGTTATTATCACCAAAATGATTGTTTTGAATTTCCAAATTCAAAACATGGAATATTGCCATTGTATTTTTCAATATTTATATATTTCAATTCAAAACATGGAATATTGCCATTGTATTTTTCAATATTTATACGTTAGCATGAAATATTCAAGCAAATCACGTTGACTACGACTGCAAATGAATGTACCTGCAACGACGGCGTATTGCTTATCAAATATTGGAGCGTATAAATCAATACATTCGGTGGAAATGGGACCGATATTAAAAAACCGAGCAAATCCCTAATTTCTCAAATTCTACAGGTTAAGTTGGATTCTCCCCTTTTGCAGTGTTTTTTTTTTCTTTTTGTTTTTTTTCAACGTATTCTTTGTGCTGCTAAAGAGTTATCAATTTTTTTACAGTTCTTTGATCTGATCGTATTGGTGATTGTTGTTAAACAGAAGATCGGGGGTTTAATTGCCGAGTATTAACCATGTTTAAAGGACTTTTCGGGAAAACCAAGCCGGAAACTAACGCTCTAACCACGTTAGACAAATTGAATGAGGTATTTCCTTTCTCCCCCCCCTTTAATTGGGAAATGAGTTTCTTTCTTTCTTTTTTGTTTTTGGTTTGATATCATTTGTATGAATTGTGGGGTTTGTAATTTGCGTTTGTTGAAGTCGGTGGACTAAATTTTTCAGTCATACTTTGTTCGGAGTTATGGGATTTGCTTGAAAGAATTGAATTGCTGGCAATTCATTTGGTGGATTCTTAAATTGTTTGATTACATTTTGCATGTGCTGTAAATTGTTGAAAAAACAACTGAAGTGTGAATAAATTTTCTTTAAAAAGGGATAAGAAAAGAATTTACCTTGCTAAAATACATCAAATAGAGTTCATCAGTTCATATATTAATGGCTGTCCCTTTTTCCCATATATATGGGGGTAAGGGAGGTAAGATAGTAGGTTACTCCCAACACCAGGTTGAGAGCAACTTTCGTAAGAGACCTCCGAATTATTAAATGCCTTCCGTGGGACTTGATCCCACGACCTCAAGGTTAAGAACCTTGTGCTCTACCAACTGAGCTGGATGGTCATTTCAGAGTTCATCAGTTCATGTTTTGGGAAAATGGTCACTTGTGCAGGACGGTATTTGTTAACTTTGGTTGGTGACTCGATGGTTTTCGGGATGCCAATATAGATCAATGAATGGAATTTGCTTCCTATGCTTGTAGCACAGTTTATGGAGTAATGCCATTAGATAAGGTTTTAAGGATTAAAAGAAAGAATGACATTCATTGTGTAAGCATGTTCCTTAACCGTCTCATGAAATGGTGGACTATGATAATTTTTATAAGTTTATAAGTTTGAGTATTTTGGTGGTATATTGGAGATGCATTCAAACTCCACAATGGTAATCATAAGACTAATTCTGGCAGTTTTTATTTTGCTTGGTGCTGCAAATTGCATTGATTTATTTCAAATCATTGATTTATATTGTTTCTCTTTGATATTTTGATTAAACTGATCCCTATAATGATCTCCATCACCTAGACCCTTGAAATGCTAGAGAAAAAGGAAAGTGTACTTATGAAAAAGGCTGCCGCAGAGGTTGAAAAGGCCAAGGAATATGCCAAAGGGAGAAATAAGAGAGGTATGGTTGCAATATATATACACGCAAATAGTTAATGTTTTTCCTTGATTTCCATTTTTTCTTTGCTGAAAAAATACTTGATTTTTTTATACAACTGGTTGACTTTTGACACTGAATTATAGTAGTTATTTTGTTTGGCTTCACAATGCTTGTATATAAATATGTCATTATTAGATGATGTAAAATTCTCTCTTGCTGGTTGCTGCAATGTCAAGAAATGGCTTCTAGGTTACTCAATGTTGGACCCCCAGGTCGCTTTTCCCCTTTTCAACCTCAATTTTTTGTTAATTTTAATTCTCAAAAGTGAGCAAAGATCAAATTAGATTGAGGATGCCCATAAAGAACATAAAATAACACCCAAATGTATTGCCTCATTGCAAGCTTCATCTTTAGACTCTTTTGGTTTCCGAAAGACTTACTGTCAAACATCAAGTGATGTTCTGATTCAGACTAACATTACAGTGCTATGATATTATTCTTGAGTTTCTGATTTATTATGTGCTCATGTCATGTGAGGTTTTAACAAGAAATGATCTAGAATAAAAGTTTAGAAATCTATCATTCTTTTTATCATCTGAACGACGACTTAATTTAAAGTTAAAACCACGTGCACTGTGATTGCAAGATATATACTGTTGACTCTTGATATTCATCATGCTACTCTTGTGCAGCGGCTATACAGTGCCTGAAGAGGAAGAAACTATATGAACAGCAAATTGAACAGCTTGGGAACTTCCAGCTTCGTGTTCACGATCAAGTAAGCTTTTAGTTTTGTTAATTTAGTGTTTTAACTTTTAACCATTTTTTTATGGTGCTTTACTGATCACTCTATATCAACTTCTACAGATGATATTGTTAGAAGGCGCCAAAGCCACTACTGAGACTGTAGATGCATTAAGAACTGGAGCAGCAGCAATGAAGTCGATGCAGAAAGCAACGTACATAACCAATAAATTTTTATTGTTAGCCTAAATAGGCCTTCCTTAGTACCTGCCCTTTGTGTCGCTATTTACTGCACTATTGAAGCATGATAGTTTGGCATTCATGCTATCTAATTCAGTGCTTTTTCTTTGATTTTCATGAAGCTTGAACAATGGTTAATTCTCACTGTTTTACCAAAAATGGCCTTCTTTACAGGAATATAGATGACGTTGACAAAACAATGGATGAAATCAATGAACAAACTGAGAATATGAAACAGATTCAGGAAGCACTTTCAAATCCAATCGGGGCTGCAGCTGATTTTGACGAGGTTATACTTTCTGGTCCACTCTTCTTTTTCTTCTTACTGCTATTATCTATGCTTATAAATGTCATGTCTGGCATTTACATGCATCTAACAATGAGTTGTTTACTTTTGATGTAGGATGAATTGGAAGCAGAACTTGAAGAACTTGAAGGTGCCGAGTTGGAAGAGCAGCTTCTCCAACCTACGACGACTGCTCCTGCAGCTCCTGTCCAGGTACCCGCTAGCAGGCAACCGGCTCGACCCGTTACTCAAAAGCGCACAGCTGAGGAAGATGAACTCGCTGCATTGCAGGCTGAGATGGCACTTTAAGGTAATTCATCCAAGTTAGTTCACTCTCTGGGTGAATTACTTAAACATAGCTAATTATCCGGTGGTGTAGTTCACCATTGCACCCATAATTGAACCATGAAAGAGAGTGGTCATACATATGTAATATTGAATAGCTCTGAATTTGTGAGCAATTAATTAATGTTTGATCACGCACATAAAGATTTCATGAAACTAAATGAATCCCCCTTATCTGTACCAATAACCAATTGAATGATCTTTGTGGTAAAAGAAAATTTTGTTATTTCTAGAGATTCTAGGTTTGGACAGCAATGTCTGGAGGTATATGCGTTGTCTTTTGATTAAGAAAATTCTAAATAGATATTATAATGTTTTTACCCTAGATTATTTAAAAATATATATACCTTTCAACGGCTTGTCCAAGCGCAAAAATATAGGAAAATATAGATGTTGAAAAATGAATTTGGGTACAATGTTTTTAGAACTTGTCATGCTCTTGTATTCATAAATATAATAAATAATTAAATTTCGTTATGCTTTCATGATGAGTTCATGTAATTTTTATTAAGTTTACGTAACGAATTTTATTTTTTAATATATTTTATGAAAGCTATTAAGAGAGCATAACAAATTTCAAATGTATTATAATAAATGATCTAAATTTTAAAATAATTTTTTAATACTTTTATTTTTCAAATTTTTGTTTCCCGTTTATAATATTTCCAAAATTTAAGTACCATTCAACACTAAAATTAATTGTTATTTTTTTTGAAAAGTAGATATATTTAAGACCGAATACTCGAAAATGAGTATAAAAATAATACATGAAAATATTTGAAGAAACACATACACACGTCCGTAACTGCACTCATCTTTCATTCGGATCTCTGTACTGATATGTATTCGATGGAATGCATTACTATGATGATGAAAATGCTTGGAAGAAATTTTTCGGCCGGTTAATTATTTTATAGTAAATTTATCTAGTTATGTGTTGATTCATTAGTTATTTTTTATTTAATCCCCGATATTTAATCTATTAATTATTTTTTATGTAATTTTTTTTGGGAAATGATTTGATGTTTTTACACTAATAACTTAGGGTGCATCCTCAACCAAAAAACACTTTTAAAAATATAAACAAATTATGGAAAAATAAAGATTTTTCAATATTTGGATAAATAAATTTTTTTTCTTTCTATTTTGGTTATTTTGTGTGGAGTATCTTCTTTTACAAAGGTGTTATAAATATTGAAATAATTAAAGTATTATTAATACAATATTATCGAAATAATAATATTATTTTAATTATTAATATTTTATTAAAAATATATATTTAATTTTAATTATTTTTAAAATTATACCTTAGATTACTTTTTCTATTTAAGTCATATACCTTATTCATTTGCTGTTAAAAAAATTAACACTAATATTAACATAATATTAAGCATAAATGAAGTTCATTTCTCAGTATTTATCCATCCAATCAAAATATTTTTACTAAGATTAAAGTTCATTTATTTTGATTCATATATTATTTAAAATTATCACACAATAAATTCAAATAGTTTTATATTATAAATAAAATTGTAGTATTCAAATAAACTTATTTATTTTCGTCATACATGAAATTTCGATCTTTAAATCATAATTTTTTTAATTAGAATATGGTTGATTTCTTCTTTCATTTACAATTAGTTTCACTACAAGTACCTACTGATCTAGTTAATTGTCCAATTGATAAATGAGAACCCTCTTAAGAATTCTTTTTTTTAGAAATAAGCTAATTTTTTAAAAAAAATGCAGAATTAAAATGAAGATTTACTAGCATAGCCGTTAACGTAAACTAAAGTATAATTAGGACATTTTCTTATAACCGTTAACACAAAAACTAGCCACCTATATCACACAAGGACCGTAAAAGGAAAATGTTAAAAAACCTAACCAATGCTCGAATAAAATAAAGATACGAACAAATCTGATTGCATCGGCAAACGAACCACAAAAGGGGATGAAACTACTAAAACGCCACCAACAAATCGCAAATCAAAGTCAAGCGATTTGAGAAAACTATTCACGAGCGCAAAATGCATATCCAAATCAACTCAAGGGCCCAAAGCAGGGAAGATAAACATGATAACAAATAAGTGTCATATTGATTAGTCGTGGCGATGTCAAATTCAACCTTGTGAAAAAAGATAAACGAAAACAACAACAAAAATTCGTAAGCTACCAAAAGACAGAGAAAAACGTGTCATAAAGGCAGATATAAACATGTCATAAAGGCAGAAAACATGTCATAAAGGTAAAAAACATGTCACAAAAACATAATTATCCTTATTAAAAAAATAACATGCGGGACAATTAAAAAATTGAAAAAGAAAAAATTGGATTGATCACTAAAATTAACACGGGTTGTAAAGAAAAAAAAGGAAGAAAGTAAGAAATTTTCTTTTTCTTTTCAGAATAACAGATAATTGCATCATGAACATTTTTATCGGTTAATTCCATAATAAGAATTTTTTCCAACTTTATGAAATAATAAATTAATAAATTTAAAAATAGTTTAATGGTAATAATAAAATTATTATCTTTAAAATTTTGATTCTTTATTTTCAATAGCTATGAGAATTGGATTAAGATTTAACAATTATTTGATGTGGAGAATTTTTTTTTCATTTAACATCATCAACTTTGTACTTCTCCAAATTATAACCTGTTATGTTATTTTCAAAAATTTATCAAAATAAAATATTGGTATGAGAAAAAAAGAATTCACAATTATTTTCATTGTAGTTTTTAAGAATTAAATAATTTTACACCCATACATAAATAAAATAATCATTCATCTCCGCATACCGACTATACAAGAACAAACATCTAATTGCTATTTCTTAGAAAGTAGTGGAAAGTAGACATCTCTCTTCGGTATAAGATGGCTACCGATCCTCTCAAAATCTCTCAAGCAGCCATGGTGAACGCCGACGCTATTAAGAAGGTCCGTTTCAAGCCACCGGATCCACAAGCATCGGAGATCTCCGAAATGGCTGTTGATGCCAACGATGGTCCGCAGAAGGAAGCCCCGCCTTCTTATGCTTTTGTTTTGTCTGGCGAATCTGGATGGGGTTCATCAAGATACAAATTCTCTGGTTCAAGACGATGACATCTATATATCGGATGGGATCTGATCTTTAGAACCCGATATAGGATTCCCTCTATCGAATTCTCCGATCGGGCTTATAAGCTAATGGAAGAAAGTATATCCAGAACGATGGTTCTCAAACTCCTTGGTCGTAACATAGGGCTAAATGCGCTCACCAACAAGACTTACGACTTTTGGAAACCGGTTCGTCCGTTCACGCTAATGGATCTAAAGAACGGGTATTTTCTAGCATGGTTCCAACGGATGAAGACTACGGAAAAGTTTTGGCCGATGGTTCTTGGATCATCTACGGGCAATATCTGACGGTTCAGCCATGGATGATGAATATCGTACCTCTCAACCGTATTCTACTTCGGTTATTGCTTGGATCTGGTTTCCGGGTCTACCTGAATACATATACAAGAAGAAAATACTCTATGGTATAGGTAGTCTTGTCGGTAAGGTGGCTAAACTTGACTTTCATAAAACCACGACCAATAGGAGGAGATTTGCGAGGGTGGCAATGTATGTTTATCTGAAGGAACCCCTCGCATCCCAGGTGGTGATCGGAGATAGGATCCAAGTCATCGAGTATGAGAACTTTCCGCATATTTGCTACTCGTGTGGAAGATTTGGCCACTTGAAAGAGGCTCGTCCGCATGATTCGCAGTCGCAACCCCAACCAATGTACAATTTCACCCAAACGAATCAGACGAGCGCCTTGCCTGGCAGTAAACCATCCCTGTCAGATGATGATCCTTATGGTCCGTGGATGGTTGTCCCAAAATGCCGGCGGCGGCCTCAAGTGGAAACTGCTAAGAAATCGAAAATATCCAAATCTTCTAAGGGGACAGGATCAAGATTAGAGCGCTGAAAGATCTGTCCAACAAAAAAGGAAAGGCCCCACAAGTCTCGGGCGATGATTCTGATGGAATCCAAAAGGAGATGGCACCCGAAAATTATGATTCCACCGCATTAACTTCTGTTCCTCTTTCTTTAACAACCCCTAAAGAACAAATAACGCACTGTCAATTAATACATGTGTTTGTTTCGTACCGGTGAATGATTAAGTGTTAATTGATTCTGTAAAACAGTATTGAATGATTCAGCATAAAAGTACATTCTGAATGATTCAAAGCCATTATCAAATATCATATCACATTCAAAGCTAATTCATACATCTGAATAATTCAACATTTGAATCATTCAACGTTTAATCATTCTGAAACAAACAAACAGTCCCTAACTCTACTCCCATACAAATTCACAATGACGTGTCTGGGATGCCCCTGGAACCTCCAACGTGATAATATTAAATGGTGATAATTTTCATTCGAACTCAAATCCTATTTTTGACAATTCTTTGGGAGTTAAAAGATATCTCGTGGAGTCCTCTTTGGATCCCACATCCCATAAGGTGGCAGCTTTTACCGCTCTACCCTACAGTCTGAGCTCAATGATTAAGAGTCGACCTCCATAGCCAAATCCTTGTCGCTCTACTGGACCGAAAACCAGGACTAATCCTTATGTGATGCGGAAAAAGCGTGTCAAGACCATACCCAGTACCCTCACTCTCGGTCTTTGGTGAAGGAAGCGGTGCATGGTGTCCTCCAGAGCATAGATAATCTACTGAAGCCTCAACATCGTGATTCCGTCCCGAAAGCCCGTTCCACGGTTGAAAACCAATAGAAGTATTATCTCTCCCCTTATGTCTATGGATTTTAAACTAATCTCGTGGAATTATCAAGGTTGTGGCGGGTATAAATTTCCGAAAATCCTCAAAAAATATTCAGTGGATTATAATCAGAATATGGTGGCCCTGTTGGAACCCGTATAAGTGGTCATAAGGCTGATCATGTCATTTCGGAACTTGGTTTTGATAGTTCTCTCAGAGTTGAGGCGATCAACTTTTCTGGCGGGATTTGGCTTCTCTGGAATAAACCGCTCGAGATTGAGATCATCGCTGCCCATCCTCAGTTCATCCTAGCTAAAGCCAATAATGGTTTAGAACCCCCTTTCATAGTTACTATTGTTTATGGGCACTCGGACAGAACTAATCGTTGAAGTCTTTGGAGGGACCTTAACAACGTTCAGACTCCTACCGGTATTCCCTGGCTCCTGGCGGGTGATTTCAAATACCATTCTTTCG